AACAAAACTAAATAGTGATTTCCTCCAACACACATCCAAGGCACCTCTACGTTATGTTCAAGCTTTTCTTTCTACTACCAAACAGATCAACACAGGTAAGCAGAAACGATCTAATAGTTCTGGCACAATTTCACACATCAGGACTCTTTGAAAGCCAATCTATTTTGGTAAAATCCCAATTTTTTTCTTTTCTGTGAGCTTGTTTTATAATAAATAAACACTTCAAACACTTTCCAAAGTGCTTCTCCCCAAGTATCTTTTCTAAATGGTATATCAGGTCCCAACTGGCTAATTGGCAATGCTAACTCCCACTTTATTTAACAGGCAAGGCTAGGTATTATTGAAGCCCTGTTGGACTAATTGGGGTCACTTAAGGAAAACACCCAAGAAATGGGCTTCTTCTTACATATACTCAGTGTGATTTTGAAACACCACTGTCAGGAAATACAACCAATCCCTGAAACTTTTTTTCCCCTGGGTTAGCAGAGTCCGAGACAATTGATGACATTACATTGGTCGTTCATTTTAGATTCGTGGAGCCCACAAAAATCAATAGTTTTCCATTATCAGGTCCAGCTGGGTCACTAGTCTGTCAATGAGCTGTTACAATTGCTGTACAGGGGTGAGCCTGACCAGTCAATTGCTGCTGACAAGAGGAAAACATGCTGACAGCCACGGGAACAAGTCAGAACACAGATTTGCACTTCAGTTTGCCATCCGAAGAGACTCCGAGCAAGGCCATTTTCAAGACGCAGGGCACACTCCGTGGGAGGCCTGGGGGAGGGGCTACCCCCTGGTTTTATAGCACAAGTGCCTAAGGGCCTGTGCTGGCTCCAGCCAATCATCTCCAGTAGAGACTACCTGTAGTCACTGCCTGTGTTAGTAAGAGGGCACGGACCAGCCAGAACTGTTCCTAAACACTATCTTCTATCCCACATTATACCCAGAGCAAGAGTGGGAGGAAGGAACTCTACTTTTACTACCACTGAGTCAGATGTAACCATACAAATACCAGGGAATATAAAAACTTAAGAGGAAGTAAATGGCCAAAGGCACCAAATACGAACCAATATGACTAAATGTGTTGCAAATAAATATTGACCGAAGGACAGAAGATCCCCTGATGTTGGTATATAGGCTATTCCCGCGTCGCCTCATTATTTATAACATTATCTATACTTTGACCTCAACCTGAGATATTTTACCGAACCAAGCGTCTCTCTCATTGGTGTTTCATCCACAGCCACTCTGTCTGATGCAGTGGGCAGCTGGGGGAACTGAGTTCTAGTCTTGCCCTGCCCATAATTAGGAAGTGGTAGGATAGAGCGGTCAGCTTGGACAAGCATCTGAACTGCCCCACATTAATAAAATGGAGACGTGCTTGCCTCACCTACTCTGTAGCAAGGTTGTCATGAGATTTCAAAACCAGATCAATTTAGAGTAAGCTCTGCCCAAGTAAGTGACTGTGTATGTGTGTTTGTGTGTGTGTCTCTCGATCTCTAGAAGCTATCCATGCCGCAAGTTTGGAAACAACTGAAAGAAGTCCTTCTTTCTCCAGAATAATTCATTTTTGGTCTAGATTGAATGCTTTCCTTCTTTAGATGAATCCATGAATAATCCATCATGTATTCCATCGTGAGAGAAAGCCAGAAGTCAGAGGACAGCTCTGGAGTCTTGGTGGGTTTTGTGGCTCTCCCTAGTTTGTAGAGAAGAGGATTGAGATGCCAGCAGAGCAGACCACACTGTCTGGGTTCCTGCATGCTGAGGGGCTTCCAAAGCAACATGAATCTGTGCAGTGCTCTGGTCTCCTCACCCTGGTTTTGTTTCAGACATCAAACTTATGAGCTCAAAAGATAAATATTTTGAATTTGTTTCAATATTATGATTTGTAATGTTTCACTTTTATTAACATCTTTCATGTATTAAACTCTAGCCTTTTTAAAAACGCCTCCAGATTGGGGTTTGATTCTTTGGGAAGTCAACATTCACTTGTTTTCCATCATCAAACAAAACTGATAATCAACTGCATTACTGGAAGCCAACTAGCTAGGGTTTTTCCCTTTCTTTTTTTTATTACACCACCAAAAAAATCATTTTCTTTAAATGAGGAAAAAAAAATAGTTTTTAACAAGAGCAAATTTGCTCGTAATTAGATGAACCAGTCTTATGTCTTCCAGCACTTGGAAGCATGAAATTCATCAGAACTCTCATAGCATTAATTAAAAAGAATTTATGTTTTTTTAATAAAATGCTTCATGTTTTAGCTCCTTTATCCCTCCACCAAATGTGATTATGTGGGGGCTGAAGGGAATTCAGGTTAATATGTTGACACACTTAACAATGAAGGGTCATGTTGCACCATACGCTTCACTGGTTTAGTTCAGTACACCCCCTGACAGGGCCTAATCATCCCCTGCCCTAAAGGCAAAGGGAAAGAGAGGATTTTAATTACTGCTCTGTATGCAAGTTTGCCAGCATTAAATTGAGACATAATTAGGCCTCTGAATTTTAATAATTGTCCTAGCTAATTGGGCAGACAAGTAAGTTATGCAGCACTGCCTGATTAGATAATTAGTATTTCCAAATGACAAAACTGGGCTCTTGATTACAAATTCTACATGAAGGGGGAGAAAGGTAGCAAGCAGATCTTTACAATTCTATTAAGGGAGAGTTTAGCTATGTCGGTAATTTAAAGTCCATTAGGAAGCAACATTTCATTCTCAGAGCCGGGGGTCTGGGACAAGGGCCTCTGTCCAACTCTGGCTCCTACTTAAGTCTTCTCCCCAAGGAGCTCTGCTTTCCCTGGGGTCTGCTGCATCCACCCTTCCCTCCACCTCCACACCAAACTTAGCAGTCATCACTGACTTTGGGTAAGGTCTCTTTGGCTAGACACCAGATGGGAGGTGATAACTCTGACAAAGAAATCACAGAATGTAGGAAGGGTAGAACAGAGAAAGAGTAATCTACCCAGGTCGGGTATAAGTATCTATAATGTCTTTCCTTTGCAAAGAGCTGTTCTTTCATTCTTCTCCCAGAATGCAGCACTCTCATTTTATCATCAGCTCCATTAAAGTCGTTTTGGTGGAAAATCTTAAATCAAAATCTTAAAGTTTTGAGGTATTATATTATTGGGGTGAAGAACATGGGCATTGGATTTGAGACCTGGATTTGAGATCATCACTTACTAGAAGTGTGGCCTTGGATAAATTACTTAATCTTGCCAAATCTCAGTTTTCTTACTGGTAAAATGAAGAACCTTCCCCATAAGTTTGTTGATAGGATTAAATAAGATAATGCATATAATTTAAAGCACAGTGCCTAGAATGAAGTAAGTGCTTAATAAATATTAGCTATTAAATCAATGACTTTGGAAGGTACAAGGTGAAGGTTCTGGGTTTGGCTCTTTGCTATGCTGGTACTCAAATGAGGCAAGGGTCCCCAGCCCCGTTTGTTTTCTGAGAGAAGAACGCAGTGCCCCATTTATGCTGGGGAAGGTCCAATGGCAACAGCTGCCTCTACAACTCGAATACCTGGCAAGATTTTCTTTCTCTCCATTCTTCAGAGATTGGCATTGCAGACAAGCCCCGCCACGCAAAAATCATGGGGGCAGTTAATCTAAGAAGAATGTAGTGTAAACTCTGCATCTTACTCCGCCTTGTGACTCATTCTCCACAAATGTCACCTTGTTGCCCACAGAGGCAATATTTGCTAAACTTCTATTTGCTAAACTTTTCTCACAACAATCAGTAGGCTGGGCTCTAGAGCTGTTTTTCAGGCAAAAGAACTGTTAATTGGATGCAAACCAGAATCCTTAAAAATGATTGATAGGTGGTTGGTGGATAACAGTGTGCTGTAGTTTGTTAGGGGAAACTTGGAAGTTCTCGATGTATATTCATGTACAGTCACTGAGGATGACCATAGGAAAATAACAATGTCTCCATGGCTCGGTCAAGACAGCCTACCAGACTGGATGAGAATTTCTTATGACTTTCTCAGAACTTTTTGCCATCTCGTTTATGAATGATGGAAGCGTTCTGGCGAGATTCCAATTCAGAATGCAGCGTTCTCTCCGTGGGTAAACTTTATATCATCCTGGCATAATCTCTACAGTATACAACACCTAAATAGCAGAGAGAGGAGGGCAACACCCTGAGAATTGAGGAAAAGAGACAAGTATAGAATGCAAACATTCTGCTAGAAGCTTAGAAGCAAAGAGTAAGACATTATTTTCCAGGCTAGGACTGAAGACATACAAAGACAGAGTGCGTAATCTTGTCTGATCTGTATTTCACGGTAGGGAACCGTCTCCTCTTGGGGCTGCGAGTCTCCCTGTTGCTCACAGGGACATTGCTCCCCGGTCACAGGAGCGGCCAAGAGAGCTGGCGCAGAGCTCTCGCCCTCACTGCACTTCCCCAGATGCCAAGAGGAAACACCCTTGTGGAAGGGTGGGAGAAGTAATAATTGTCCAAAGGACGTTCCCCGCCTCCAACCCCCGTGCTGGAGCCTCTTTCCCGTTCTTTTTGAAGAAGCGCGTGTATGACTGATCGCTCAACACCTTGCTGGTTCTGATTGCAGAAAACACACCTTATAAATATATGATAACCATCCTGTAATAGAGAGTGTGACAATTTACTTCACAGTGCGTTTCGGGCTGCTAATTGATCGTTTCAGTCCAGGGACGATTTGGAATAAATTATAGCCATCAAAAGGATATCACTGTTCATTTTCGTGGAAGGATTTCCTCGTCCCTTCGCGTTGGTGAGAGAGCCGATTGCACCCGGCAGGCAGAGAGGAGGGGAGGGAGCCGGCTGGAGAAAGGAGGCCGGAGGGGCGGGGCGGGGCGGGGAGCTGGACGGGGCAGGGCCGGCGGGGCAGGAGGGCGGGGCCGGCGGCACGGGACGGGGCGGGGCTGATGGGCGGGGCCGGCGGCGGCGCGCGCGCGGCGGCTGCAGGTCCGCGGTCGGACGGTAGAGGCCTCCCTTCCGAGGCGGCGGCGCGGGTGGAACCCGCTGGGGCTCCGCTCCCCCTGCGCGAGCCCGCGCGTCCTTCCCGGCGAGGTCCCTGCGCGGCGCGGCCAGGCTCAGTGTGAGTATTCCCCACGCGCTCCCCTCCTCCCGCAGGGGGCAGCGCCTGTTCGTTTGAAGTGAGAGTCTCCGTCGGGCAGAGGGCCCTGCTCGGGAGCGGGGTTGCTCGCGTGAGCTGGATCTCACTTCCCGCTGGAGGCTTCCTCTCAGCGGGACTTCCCCGCGGGAGCGGACGCTGTAACGCGGACCGCCGCTCTCTGAGCTCCGGGAGCGGGAGTAGCGAGGCGGGGAGGCGCCGCGGCGCCGTCGGGGGCTTTGTGTGCAGTTGGGGCCCGCAGCTCCGGTAGCTCTGGTTCTCACGCCGCAACTGCGGAGGGGCGCGTGCAGAGTGTCGCAGCCTCTGAGGGAACCTTGCCCAGCGGCCCCCCCAGGAGAGGGCGAGGAGACGGCGGGCCGGGCCGGTTGGCGCCGCGAGGTGATGCCGGGGTCTCGAGGGCGGCGGGTTACGTGCCGTGGAAGGCGGCGAGAGCGCGGCCTAAAAGCCCTGCGGGGGACGCCGGCGGGAGTGCTCGGCCGAGGCCACTCCGAGCGTACCGGCCCCGGACCCCGCTCCGTCGGGTCGGCTTCCCCGGCCGCCTCGGAGGCCGCCGCGCCCTCGCTTCCATTTCATTTCCCGCAAGGTGTGTGCCGTCGTGTGGTGGTCACGGAGAAGAGAAACCTATCCCTGGATGGGATTCGACTTTGAAAAAACAGTATTTTCCTCCTCCTGTCGCGGGCACTTGCCAGTCTGGCCTTCCTTCCCCGCCCATGAGACTTCCAGGCAACTTTCATTCTCTTCCTAAGTTAGAGCGTGAGAAGGATTGAGGCCCTTCGCCCACACGTAGCAGACCCCCCTAACCGTGTGCTTGAAGTCAGGCTTCGCATGGTGTTCTTCGTTTTTTAGTCTTGTGTCATGCTAATAAATTATGTCAATCTAGGGCACGGATGTTTCCTTGCAGGCGATTTTGACAGCAATCATCATACCAAGCTATTATGAAGTGTGATGTCAGTCTGGAGGACGGATAATATATAAGCCGGTTCTTGACACGCTATCTTACAAGGAAACATCTGAGACCATCAGTAAGAGGCATTTTAATTCACACACCAAAAATATTTTGTGTTTGGTTGACATCTTTCAAAATGCTGAAAGAGGTAGTAGCACTTATCATTTTGTAGGTATTTATCAAGGTACACACAAAAGTCCCCATAGGAGGGAGGAGGGTTTTGTCTTAGTCCTGTTCTATCACATAAACCAAGGAACAAAGGTGTTATATGTGCTACCAAATAAATAGTGCTTGTAAGCCAGTGATAGAGCTCTATTTATGAGAACAGACATCTTCTAAAACTGGAATAATTGGAAAAGTGAGACAACTGGTTATGTTTATGCCTCTGTTGTGAAAGATAATCGTCTGCTATCTTAAATGAGAAACCTTATGCTTTTAGCTTAAGTGCTGGATGTGTGAAATGATCCATTTAGCTCAGGTATGGAAGTCAGGTAAATTTTCTGTGAAACTCCGGTCTTAATGGTTACTTACTTACTCATGGGTATTAAAGACTTTGATTATTTCAGAAGTCACATGAAACAAGTGATTAGGTTCAAAAGTATGGCTAGGGTCCTAATGACCGAATTCTGAAATCTAAAGTGATCCAAATCTAAGCAGACGCTTTAGGCTTGATATTATGTAATAGTCAGAAGTTGTATTTACATGGACCAAGTCCCGTGGGAGTTATTTTTACAATGAACTGTGCATGTGTTCACCCAAGGTATGGTTTTCTTTTCCTCCAGTCATTAATTCAATAACTATTTATTCATTGTCTGTTACAGGTCCACTTCACTTTGCCATTGAACATGAGCCCTATAGGCATATAATACATAATTCTTGAAGTGTAACTAAAATGTGGAAAATATATCTTCTTCTGGCTCAAGGAATATTATTATAAAAGAGTTAAAAACTCTGGCCTTTCATTTATACAAACGGAAAATTGTATTGACTTCTCTCAAGTAGTAAGCTAAGGGAAGAAAAATTAGAAATCAGAAAGTTTTCTCCAGCCTATGCCCTAGTCACTACCATATTTTTTTCTCCTTAAGACTTTCAAAGCAAAGTTTAAAGGACCTGCATGATTGAATGGGTTTATGATGTCCTTTTAATAATTTTAGAATATAAAGTTTTCCTTAAAAGGTCTTGCTTCTTATATGGTGTGCTAGACTGGCTGGTGTTATGTGAGTGAAGCACTATAATTTTAGTTAAAATCAAAACCGCATACCCCTTTTTTTCCCCAACCTGAAGTAAGAATTGCCTACAATTAAGAAGACAAACACATTTCAAGTAGTTCCAAGTACACCTGTTTACAATTCATTTTCATTGGCTTGATAAACAGAGAAAAACATCCAGGATGTTTATCTCAATTATTTGTAGTTTCATCCTAAACAATGCCTAGGTCCTTGAATATCAATACATTTTTGTATGACATCTATAAGCTGCACCTAAAGAGTGTAAAATTTTGTGAAGTGCAATAACGGAAGATGTTAAGAATAATTTTTTCCTTAACCCTAATATTGTGCTGTAGGGCCATAACTAAGTAACCAAGATATGACTATAAACTAATATAGTCCATTGTATCAGAACTTACACATACATTTTAGTGTCCTATCCAACTAGTCATCTTGGAAGTCTGTCACTTATTGCAGTCATGCTTCCATTGCTGCCATCGTTCAAACGTATTTTGAAGCTCTTCATTTGGGCACTCTTCAGAACCCACAGCACATCTTGTTAAAAAGCCTTGGAGGCGGTCAGTCATCTTCCTTTAAAGACCTTCTGTGCCCTGAAGAGTTAGGTGGGTGATCAAGTCAGGTAATGTAATTTGGGGGTCAAAACAATTGGAAAGACTATTAGATGTCTTTCTTGAGTAGCTTTTAAACTAGCTCTAAAGTCATTATACAAGAATAGTTTGAACATTGGAAGCACCATTGGAGTAAAAGTAGCTGCCAAGGGAAAACTCTTAAGAAAAGTGTGCATTTGGAGCTTGTAGAGTCTCTTTGATTATCAATGAATTATTAATTTAACAATCGTATACATCTCTAGTACATTGGTATGCAGTATAGAGACATCTTACTTCAGAAAACTATATTGTCAAGAATTTGGTTGATCTGGATTTTATGAGAGCTCAGTTTTGCTGCTATGATAACAAAAGCTGTTAAATTCTAGAATATGGGCTTGGGTAGGAAAAATCCAAGATGTCATGGGCTAAAATCAGGATTGCCATACATAGTTCTATAGATTGGGTGCTCCATATTCCTTGAAATACAAAGGAATCATACTCAATTAAGAAATCAAACTTAACCTGTATTCTGTTTAGTGAGCAAGGCATTCACCATTATCAAAAAAAACTCAGTGATCCTTCAACTGTAGGTGACGTCTAACTTGTGGAATAAAACATTCGTCATTTTTAGTAGATGGTTGTGAATAGAGACCCCAAAGTATATATGTAATGGAACTACTGTGTACTGCTGTAAGCTAACAATATGCTATATGCTGTGCAAAATACAGAATTATGAAACTCCCTCCTCAGTGAATTTAAACTCTTATGATATTCAAGACCAGAATTTGGGAGATGGGGTAGAAAGACACTCAAGGTAAAGAGAGAGGGAGATGGAAAGAGGTAGGTCATGGGGCTTTTGAATCATAATTAGTTGAATTCATCTAAGAGAAGAGTTTAGAAATAGTTTCCCAAAACCACCAGCAAATAATTTAAAATCTGAGGGAATAATTCAAATTGAACTCCAGCTGAGACTATATGGAGAACCAAGAAAAGCAGAAAGAATGTAATTAGCTGAGTAGGAATTTTTCTACGAATTCAGGTCTAATACCTTTAGTATTATATAGAGGGCCACAGGATCATTAGTGATTAGCAGGGATCCAGACTATAATGATCAGGAGAGATCAAGGCCAGAGGACAAAGATGAAAGAGGCTTCCTGCTTAAACTGAATGTTGCAAATGCTGGTGCACTTACAGAGGGAAGGTCAGCTAGCAGACAAAGAAATAGGGCAACAGTCCCAAATCATCAAATATATTCCTCTCTTTCACCCCACAGTTAGATTGGATATGGAGATTAACCAAGTTTGAGCTGAGACAAAAAGAATATCCTTATTTCAGCCATTTATAAGATCTGGAACTTGGAGTTTTGTCTGCTTTGATGAGTTTGATTATTGCTCAGAAATTAGGGAGGGGGACCTGCTGGGCCCAGGATATCTGAGTTACATACCCAACTAAAGGGTCAGTGAACAAGGTAGACAGATCCAATTCCAGGTCTTTTCTGGGGAAAAGACTGTTTGTCTATTAGCAGATAAAACGGCTCCTCAATTATATGTTACAAGTATAAGGAAGTGTCAGGTACCCAGCACATCCTCAGTAAACAATGACAATTGTGGAAAAACAAGTAGCAGTGATGTTAGCCTTTCTTTTGGAATGGGTAGCCCAACCATTGCACCTGCTCATATTCTATAGATTTAAGAACCATCCAAATAGTTCTTAATTTGAATCTAAATATTAAATTTTGTATATAGTGTTTATAGCTTCAGGATTGGGGTGGGGGACCTCTTAGTATGGCCAGGTAGTTATAGTAGAAGTCTGGTTGGTATAGCTTGAGGCCCATCTCTTTCAGATAGAGAGAGGTCCCTGGTTTTGGATTTACAGAATTCACACGTGGATCCAGAATATAGAAATGGCAGGAGATTGCCCTGAGAACTGGGAAAGTATCCTTGACTAGGAGTGGGGACTAGGTTTATCATGTACCAATTGTGTTACGTGAAGCAAATTTTTGTTTTCTCATAGGCAAAATGTGTATAATACATTTTCTTCAAGGGGTAGTTTTGAGCTTGTCTGAGATGAAATAAATGAAGGACTTGGTTTATTAAGTGCTGTGCATGTGCAAGCTTTTGTGTTCCACAACATGGGTTTTGTAGGTGGGGGTAAGGGTTGTAGCCCTTGAGCTGTCCAGATATTTAAACCAAAATATAAATG